CGCGACCCTGGCGGCGGCCCTGGCTGCTGTGCGCTCTCCTGCTGGCCAGTTCCGCGGCCGGTAAGTACGGGGTACCCGGCGTCCGGCCCCCCGTGCTGTGTCCGTGTGTAGGCCCGCGTGGGGAAGTCGCCCTTCGCGCTTTCGGGCCGTGTCGTCTACTCACCCCACCCTCCACGGGAAAAAAGACATGTTGGGTGTGGTATCTTGACATTTTTAGCTGTGAGGTAATGCAAGAAGTAAAAATAATTTTTTTAATCACCAGCGAACAGTGTTTGTTAGGAGATTCTTTGGAAAGAGATGCAGACTTTTTTTTAACATAAAGAATTGGATTTGGCTTACAGTAAAAAGAACATCAGCTACACAGTTATCCTTAATTTTAGATTAGATCACTGGGAATTTATGTTACTTTTCGTTATTCAAAAATGATAGCGAATGAATAGAATAAATGTTGAGGAATCCAGACTCTGTGATTGTTGAGGCATTGTATATTGTTTGTTACTATTATCATTAGTATTATTTTGTTCCCAAGTAGTCTAGCAATTATGTTTCCATCGTTTCAACTTAGACCCTTGCATTGTATGTGCTTGTGGAATTACTGTTGGGCATAGGAGTATTTTGATAACTTCACTATTAGTCATCTGGCATCTGTTGGCTTTTTTTGTCATTGAGACAACTTTGACCTCACATCAGGCTTCTAGGAGATTTGAAAGTTCTTTGGCTTTTTACCAAAGCATAAAAGAAAATGGTAGTCATTCATTCTTTTGCAATTTCCGTTTTAATTCTTACACACCTTAGGAAAAACCTTATGCTCATAATGCAATTATTTTTCAAGTATTTTATTTGCGTCTAGGATTTTCAGGAGTGGATTGTATATAAAATTCTTAAATTTAGGGTGGCATTTAAAAATGAGTAAAGGACAAAATGATGACTTTTTTCTTTTTTTAAGTGTGTAGTTTTAACATTCATTTCGTTTCTCATGGCTTTGTTATAAAAGCCAGCGCTGGAAAAATGCTGAAAGAAAATTTGAAGTTTCCTTTTGTGCTTATTGTTGATTAAGGTCTTATTTTTGTGATAATTCTATGCGTAGTAGTTTTAAAATAACTTGAAATTCTGAGTTGAATGTATTTTGAAACATTTTAAGTTTTTAGTTGTTGCATTTCCTTTTGTAATGAAAATGAATGGTTTTCTCTAAATTTAATGTAAGTGCTTAGCCATAAACCATGTGGTTCCTGTAAAACATGAAGAGCATAAAAAAGACCTTCGGTTTTAGCAGTCATTTTTGGAGCAGAAATCTCAGAATATTTTTGTTCTTTGTTATTCTTGACCCTTTTAGAATGTAGATTCTCCTTTATAGTGACATCATTTTATCATGAGAACTGATAAAAAAAATCATTGATTTTAAAAATTAAAATGTTGGGTAAGAAAAATACTCTTAAAATAGTGACCCTTAAAATAAATAGATTAAAGGAATCACTGCTTAATGATGGTGTTAATCTTCATTTTAGTATTACATAGCACCGGAAGACAGGGTTTGTGAAGGTGGATTCAGAGCTGCAACAGTATTACTGGTATTTATTGAGTGCTTTCTATGCACCAGCAAGCAATTCAGATAGCTTTACATATATTTTCTTGTGTGGTCCTCATGACAATTCTGTACTGTAGATTATTATTATTTTCCTTTTACAGAGAAGGAGAAAAAGTACAGAGAATTTAAGCAACTCATCACAGAGTAAATTATGGAGCCAGGATTATAGCCTGCACCCTTACCTACCACATCAGTGCTAACGACAGCAGCAGAGGCAGCAGTGTCTTTCTCTAATTGGGAATGTGAGATAGAGTGATGCCTTCACCAGACCAGCTTTTAAAAAGAAGTGGGGACAATAGTATAGGCACTGGTTATGCAGATGTTATGGTTCTGAATGTGTAAAACTGCCTCGTGTTGGAAGGAATAGTGTAGTTTCATTAAGTGCAAGGTGTCTGTGGATTTGGGAGCGTAGATGCAGTGCTGTAACTGGTCAGATGCAAATAGCACAACTGAACAGAAAAAAAATGAATACTGACTGATAAGATGTGCTTCTTTAGGGTCATGGGTTAATCATTTCTTTTTTTTTCTTCTTTTTCTTTTTTTCTTTCTTTTTTTTTTTTTTTTGAGACGGGGACTTGAACTCAGGACCTTGCATTTGAGAGGCAGGGGTGGTGCCACTGAGTTAAATCCCCAGCCCTAATCATTTCTTCCGAATCCCTCCTCACTCTGTCTAGTTCTTGGACTCAGTTCAAGGAACAGTTGGTATATAAAAAATAAGAATTCATTAAAAAAAGATGTTCTTGTTTGGTTTATAAATAATTCTTTTTTTGTTGTTTTTTGTTTTTGCTCTTGGTACTGCGAATCAAACTCTGGACCTTGCACTTGTGAGGCATGTGAGATGCCACTGAGCTAAATCCTCTGCCCTATAAATAATTCTTAATATTAATGAAAATACAACAACACAAGTATTATTTAAGGATCAGCTCCTACAAGAGCATTACATGCATTGGAAATTAACTTGACTAGACTTCAAATTTATGTACTTTTCTTTAGGAACACATATAGTCTACAGTGAATTTTATCTATTTAGTATTCTTGAGCAGTTAGTTTTGCTGAGTAACTGAAGTTTGGTAATTTCATCTCAGTGTTTCTAAAGCATGGGCACTACAAAAGAATCACCTGAGGTTCTTGGTAAAGTGTATGTGTTTGGTCCCTACCATCTAGATGTGCTAAACGGGACACACACACACACACACACATTTTATTTTTAACCCCAAAGAATCTTACCCTTGAGAACCAGTGTATCACCAGTTCTAATTAAGTTAAATCTGATGATTTGGTCACCTTTTGCTGCTTAATAATTTGCAGCCACAAAGTCTTAGTGGCACACAATAGCATTTATTCTGCTCTACTTGTCTCTTCTGTGGCCCAGGTAGGAGAGAGGGTAATACCTACCCCAGGGAAGTTTTTTTTTTTTTTTTTTTTTTGGTAGTTCAGCCTGGCCTTGAACTCTCTATGTAGTCCAGGCTGGCCTTCTGATCCTCCTGCTTCAGCCTCCAGAGTGCTGGGATTACAGGTGTGAGCCATCAAGACTGGCCTTCAGGGAAGGTTTTTTTTTTTTTTTGTTTTGGCATCGGGGATTGGACTCAGGACCTTGCACTTGGCAAGGCCAGTGCTGCAGTGCCACTGAGCTACATCCCTGGCCCTCCCAGGGAAGTATTTTATCAAGGCAGTGTCAGAGTACAGTGGGACAAGCCCAACCCTACCTGCATGTTACTATACTCTGCTTCTCAACATCCCATTTGCCAACCAAGTCATACTGCCAAGCCCAAAGACAAGGAGTGTGGAAGTACTTTATACCTACAGTGAGGCTGATATAATATATGGATGTATAGTACACTGCAGAGGGCTTAAGAATTGAAACTCAATCTACATAGGATCAGAAGGTGGTACAGGAAAGGGACTTGTTTTACCATATGAATGAAGTGAGCTCTTAAATAATGTTTTGCATTAAAATTACACTAGGATTGGTTTCAACAAAAGCTATGGTGGTGGAATGTGGCCTGTGGTGTGTGGTATTGGTGTTGATGTGTCTATGAAATTTGGAGAGGGATGTTTTCTGCACCAGGATATCACCTTTCCTTCATTAAAGGCCAACTTTTTATGTTTGCCCTTTTGAGGATCCAGCCCAAGCCATGTGCTAGCGTGCAAGTACTCTTATCACTGAGCTGCACCATCAGGTAAAGGCCAATTTTTTTAGCAGTGAAGGAAAAGGAATTGAATATTGATCTCTGATTGGTTCTAACCATAAAAGTTAATGAAGTTAGAGTAAATAAGTTAATTTTATAATTGGCCATAACACTTATTGTGGCACCTACTCATATAGCCTTGCTCTTAAGCATCAGTTTTATGTATTTGCCTTGTCCTCCCAACTGATAATTACTTCTGGAGGATAGGATTCATGTCTTTTTTCCGGGGGGTGGGGAGAGAGAAGGGTGTTAGGAATCAAACCCAGGGGCTCTTGCATGCAAAGCAAACACTCTGTCACTTATCAGGGTACCCTTCCCTCCAAACTTTATATCTTAAATTGTTTTATAATCTGTCATATTGCTATGCATAGAAGTATTTGGTGAGGGCTAGGGTTTTAGCTCAGTGGTTCTGCCGCCTGCCTTGCAAACAGAAGGACCCGAGTTCAAGCCTGGTACAAAAAAAAAAAAAAAAATAGTTGGTGAATTAATTTAAGGAATTAGAGTTTATCAACTCAAGATATTAGCAACTTATTCTTTGTCCTAGTTCCTTCAACTATAAACTAGTAATAAGTGGTATAGTGGGAAGACCATTATCCTAAGTTATTCTATATGATTGTGAGCACATTCTTTTCTGTGTTCTCATGTTTTGGGGTTGAAAGATCATGTTTCAAAAGCAGATTCCTGGGCACCACTCTAGACTTTCTGAATCCAAGTACTTATACACCAAGCCTGGGAAACTGCATTTTACCCCACCCCTATTATTTTATATGCCTTTGAGAACTGTGTTGTAAGATTTCTTCTAACTCAGATGGTATAACTTTATTATTACTTCTGCTTTTTATACTAATTACATCTTATTTTGGGTCAGTCAATATTGGGACCAAATATTTACTTTGTGTTTTAAGCAGTTACCCCAAATCTTCTTCTTCTTAAAAATTATAGTTTTTTCTCCTTTTATTTTTTATTTATTTATTTATTTTTTTGAGACAGGGTCTCAGTATGTAGTTGAGACTGACCTGGAACTCACTATAAAGCCCAGGCTGGTCTTGAACTCACAGTGATCTTCCTGCCTCAGCCTCCCAAGTGCTGGGATTACAAGTGTGTGCCACCATGCCCAGCCATTTTCTTTTTTTAATCTTCTGTTTTTTAAAAGTGATGTATGCCAGGCCAGGTATGGTGGTGCATAATTCCAGCGCTGAGACAAGAGGATTGCTCCAAGTTTGAGGCCAGCCTGGGCTACACAGGAAGTTCAAGGCCAGCCTAAACTGATCTACATAGCAAGACCC